CAAATAAAATTCATTATTTTCAGCTTGTTTATTATATTACTCGAACTTATATTTAATTAAAATCAATATTTTTCTTAAAAATATTTTATATAATTATAATGTAAGAGTTATGAGTACTTTTGTATTATATATTAATATTATTATTATTATTTCTTGTCAATTATTATTTTTTTGTTGTAATCTTTAATTTTATATTTAAATTAATAAAAAGTAAAAATAAATTATAAAAATTATAGTGCACTTGAAAAAAAGAAAGAAAAATGATAAAAGAAATTAAATGAGGATACTATAGGGCTTTTACATAAATAGGGAGTGAAAAAAATAAATTTGTAAAAATAGGGAGTAAAGAAGATAAAATTAATAATATGGAGTAAATAAGAATATGAATATAGAATTAGGAAGATCGGTGGAAGTTACACTTATTTATTTATTATAAATGATTGGTGGGTCTCTCTTATTTAAATGGCCCAACCATTTATTTAATGTCACAACAATTTTTATTAATAACAAAATTTTGACAGCTTGCTCGCGGTATTAATTTTAAATACAGTAACAACCACTACAAAAAAAAATAGTATATTTGTAACGAAATTACGTTATTAAAATTCATGTAGCTAACATAATTCCATCTCAAATTCCGTCTCTAATATCATTAGTAACGGAAAAAGTAGATTTAACAACGAAAAAATCTTGTTACAAAATTGATATTTTTTTTTATAGTGATGTCAAACTACAAACATATGCCAATATGCAATTAAAATTGCATAACTGAAAAAAGAAATCAAACAAAAGTCTAGAAAATATTATAAACTTAACTTATTTCAATTCTGATATTTAAATGGTAAATAAATAAGTAACAAAATATATGATATATGCTTACTAAATAAAAAAATAGTGTTCCCATTTATCTTAAAAATCATAAAAATAAACATTGTATCAACTTCAAAAAATTTAATTTAGAATTCAAATTTGGTAAACTATAAAAGAGATTTGGTAACTATCAGCAAATATGCAAATATAGCCTCAATTCCAATAAATAAATAAATAAATAAATCATTTACATACCAAATAAAATACAATTCCCATCTTCTTCAAAAATATATTATACATAAGCCAAGTTACTAATTACTATGCGTATATTGTTACAATGCAAGAAATGAAGTATACATTTTAGTAGTAGCTAAATTTACATATTCCTAAAAGTTTTTCCTATTCATTTTGGGATTATTTGGTTTTGGTTTGAATTTGCGGTTTTTTTTTTTTATTTCGAGTTCAATTTAAATAGTATTTTGATATAATATTTTATAAAAAAATAATATTTCATATATATTTATTGAAAATAGTACGAATTAAATAATGGAGATTTAAATTTGAAATTCAAAACAAACACAACCCGCTCATCAATTTTCTTTAAAAATAATATATTCAAAAACTATTTTACTTAAAAAAATATTTCATCCGTCCCACTTAATTTGTCTATTTCAGCTTAGACATAGAATTTTAGATATTGTATAATTAAAAGTATTTAAGAAGTGTATTAGTAAAAATAATTATAGATGAAGATTAAGATGATTAAGATTAAAAAATTTATAAATTATGAATTTTAAAATGTAATTAAAGTGTATAATTATATTTTCAAAAAAGCAAAGAACAAATTATATGGGACATACGAAAATAAAAAATAGTAGACAAATTAAGTAAGACGAAGGGAATATTAAATCAGATGTGTCGTAGTCATACTACAACAACCCTAATATCTCCTCCATGTCAACTTCTCCCATAGGGGGCAACTTGTTCAAATCAAAGTTGTGCGGGGGCCGATTCAATCTAGCTTTTCGTTGTCCGCATGCTACGGCTGCTCTCCATTGTGAGTCGAGGGTTATGTTGCTGCCAGGGAAGTGATAGCTCGCAGGCTGATGCCATCGACACTTGGGATATATATATTGAATTTTTTTAGTTATATCTATTAGATTAATTACTCATTATTTTTTTAGGAGGAGGCCGCGGCAATAATCCTATATTTTTTTCTCCTTTCTAGGGTGGTGCGCCTTGTGGACGCCAAGAGGGTGAATGGTTTCAAAGTTTTGGTGAAGATATCGCACCAATGTTGGTTTTTTTTTTTTTTCTTTTGGATCGGACCGCAATAATATTGGTTTTGCTCTGCCAACTGGTTGACATCTAAAAGTCTTATTATCCGAGTTTGTGTGGTAGATTCGACTTATCTATGTGCATTAGTTGTAGCTTGTTGAGACACTTAATAGCATTTGCTTTCAACTCTGAATGGCGATGCAAAAAATGTTTAACGAGGGATCTTTGTGATCACTACAAAAGAATATCAATTTTGTAACAAGATTTTTTCGTTGTTAAATCCACATTTTTCGTTACTAATAATATTAGAGACGGAATTTGAGATGGAATTACGTTAGCTACGTGAACTATAGTAACGGAATTCCGTTACAAATATACTATTTTTTTGTAGTGGATCCTAACATTCGATTGCAAAGAGGACACTGTCACTCTACGTTTTTACAAAAATATAAAGTATTGTAAATGAATTTGGGTTTATTTACACATAAATTTTTACAAACTGTTTGTTTAAAGGATTTTGGAGGATTTACACTATTCACACAAAATTTTTTCCCTAAAAACATCAAATCAAATACATATTTTTTATTTTTTATATTATACTAAAAATCAATTTTACATTCAAAATATCACATCAATACTTATTTATATCACATCATAAAACTATTCCAATTCAAATATTTACTATTCAAATCTCAATCTAAAATCCAAATCCCCAAACAAACACACTTAAAGTTTTGAAAATTATTAAAATAATATTAAATTAAGTAATTGGATTTTGTTTGGGGGATTGGATTTTAAATCCGCGGTTCATCTCATTTTTTCTCCTCAAAAATATCAAATCAAACATTTATTTTTCATTTTTTATATTATACTAATAATCAATTTTACATTCAAAATATCACATCAACACCTATTTATATCACATCATACAACTATTCAATTTCAAAATTTTTACTATTCAAATCTCAACTCAAAATCCAAACTCCCAAACAAACACACCTATATTTTGGTGTGATACGTTTTTATTTTTATTTTTGAAATAACTGTTATTGATAAATAATATTGCAATTTTTAAACGTGTGTTTATAAATAGACATGATCTTTTTTGCATATTTGATAAAAAATTTTGCATATTTGATAAATATATATATATATATATATTATATAATATAATTATGAGGGCATAAGAGTGAAAATATATCATCAACAAATAGGAGAACAAAAAAAAGTAATAATTTTATAAATATAGATTAAATGGTAAATACGGGCTTGTTTTGTCAGTAAATTTTGAGTTTTGACTAAAATAATTATTTTATATAATATAAGGGTGTGTTTGTTTGAAGGATTTTGGAGGATTTCTACTATTCATCCAATTTTTTTCCCCCAAAAACATCACATCAAACACCTATTTTTCATTTTTTATATTATACTAAAAATCAATTTTACATTCAAAACATCACATCAAACCCTATTTATATCACATCATACAACTATTCAAATTCAAAATTTTTACTATTCAAATCCCAATCCAAAATCCAAACCCCCAAACAAACACACCCTAAATAAATATTAATATACATTCGGCCCTTAAGTTAGTTATCTTAAAATTATTTTAAAAGAATTTATTTTAGAGCAGATTGTTGATATAAGTAGTATAATTAATTCATTTAAATTGTGTTTTATTTTGGGATATCACATTCTCATCAACTAAATAATAACGTCCATGTTACACTCCAATTATCCGTCAGTTGCTAAGCCTTTTAACAGTTCGGTCAACAACTATGGATTGTTGCACCCCTGGTCAGCAAGCACCGTAAGTCAAGTGTGTCATGATTATAAATTGGTTCCACAGATTAACAGAAGTCATTTTTCGCATGCTTTGTCCTCACTCACATGCGGTATGGAGACTTTCCAACGTGTTACTCGTATTGGAATTACTCTAAAGCAAATACATTTAATTATAAAATTCTTTCAAATAGACTCTCGAACAGAAATGTACATAATATTTATATGAGCAATCTAAGCAATTCACTTAAACTCTACTAAACTCCATAGTATCACATTGCCATTCACCGCCAAATTTCGGTGATCAGTTGGTTTTTGGATCAAGAATTTGATGGGGCGAGTGGTGTAGACTGTAGATGATCGGAAATGGGAGAAGCGTTAATGGCAATAGTTGTCGGGTGAAGCAGAATTTGACTTTAGTACCATGTGAAATTTTGGATGAAAAATAATACTCCATTCGTCCCGATCCAAAGTATCTATTTGTATTTTTTATTTTATTGATTATTGAAAATGTGTAAGATGATTTTAATATTTTTATCATTTGTAATAACGTGAACATTTTAACGAGGTAATAAATTTACTAAGAGAAACATGTGTAGCAGACAAAACCTAGAGACATCAAGGTTTGAACTCATGATTTCACGATTATAAGTTCATCTCACACCATTCCGTCATTATTTACGGGTCTTATTTTTGTTTTGTTTCTATTTGAACTTGGCAAGCCATAAACAATTATATTCAATATATATTTTTTTTTATAGACATACAAACATTTTTTTTTTAATTCTGGTGTCATAATACTTCGAAGAACTGAGATCCTTTTCAAATAATATATGTATATAACTCTATTTTTATAAATATTTTTAAAAACTTTAACAGTATATATCAATTTTTTTTGTCAATATAAATGTATGCTTCCTTTAAAAAAAAACATAAAAATATTACTTTATTATTATTTTTATTATTTTTCAAAACTTTCAAAAACTTTTATATAAAGGAGCCCACGTTTAAATTTATTTTATTTTTATCATCCAAATTTCTATGTTGGAAAAGATTGGGGTTTCTAGAATGGGCATAATAGTAATTCTTAATTTCTTATGTGAATAGTCCGACAAATACACCACACCTACTCCTACAAACACACCACACACTTTTCACACCCTTCCACCGGCGCGTGATGTACACGCGACGAAACCCATCCTCTTTATCTACCAACCGCTTCCCTCTCCTTCTGCATAATTCTCACCGCTAAATTTCCGACGCGCCGCCGCCACCACCACCACCGCCGCCGCCATGGCGAAGAAAGGAATTCAGGAGACCTTCTACATATCCCACGGCTCACCCACGCTTTCCATCGACGAATCCCTCCCCGCCCGCCATTTCCTAAAATCATTCCGGCAGAAGCTCCTGCCGGAAAAGCCCAAAGCCATTCTCATAATCTCCGGCCACTGGGAAACCGCCTATCCGGCGGTTTCCGCCGTCGACGGCCCCAGCGCCACCATCTACGACTTCTACGGGTTCCCCGACCAGATGTACCGGCTCAAGTACCCGGCTCCGGGATCCCCCGGTCTGGCCGGCCGGGTCAGGCAGCTTCTCCACGACTCCGGTTTCGGGCGCGTGGCGGTCGAACCGGCGCGTGGGCTGGATCACGGCGCGTGGGTTCCGCTCATGCTTATGTACCCCGACGCCGATATTCCCGTCTGCCAGCTGTCAGTTCAGACTCAAAACGACGCCGCTCACCACTTCCGGCTAGGGCAGGCGCTCCGGCCGGTGAAGGACGACGGCGTTCTTATCGTCGGATCCGGCGCCGCCACGCACAATCTGCGGCGGATGAAGCGGAACGGCGACGGTACGGTGGAGGCGTGGGCGTACGAATTCGATAATTGGATTAAGGAGGCGCTGGTGGAGGGTAGGTACGGCGATGTGATTGATTACGCGGCGAAGGCGCCGCACGCGGCGGTGGCGCATCCGCGGCCGGACCACTTCTACCCGCTCCACGTGGCGATGGGCGCCGCCGGCGAGAATTCCAAGGGCGAGCTCATCCACCATAGCTGGACCAACGGATCGATTTCCTACGCCTCGTATAGGTTCGCAGAAAACGCCGATTGATTGATCTACCGATCGATTACTGGTAATCGGAATCTGTTCTTGATTCGATCTGTGATTGCTGCTTTGTTTAAATGAATTTTAGCTTGTGTTGATTGTGCTTGTAACCTGTTCGACGTATTGCCTGAAAGAGTTTGATTTATTTGAATTGCCAGAACTATTGTCTTGGAGAACGAACAAAAATGGTAATGGTAAATAATATTATTATATTGAGACGGATGGATTATTATTTATTTACATATTATATTATATTTGTCTCGATATCATTTAATTATTTATTTAAATTATTTTATTTGTAATAGTTATTGATTATAAATATTAATTTTGATATATGTAATTTTTAAATAAAATATAAGTTATATGTGCACAGATTTAATATAAAAATAAATTAAAATTGAGGTGTAAGTTATAAATATGAAAAATTATACTCTCTCCGTCTATTTACGATGTTTATATATTTATATTTTGGAACGTCCAATTGCAAAGTTAACATTTCATTAAATACTCTACTTTTCTCTACAATAAACATGGTAAGTGGTGGACAGAGGGAGTCGTTCCATAATAAATTATTAATTTTTTATTTTAGTCCGTCTCATAACAAATTATTCGTTTCTTTTTTTAGTTACTGACTATCTAACAAATATACAAATACCTTTACAATTTATAATATATTACACAAATACTATTATTTTTATATCACACAATACTAATAAAGTTATTTTAGTAATTTCTACCTTATTCCTATTAAAAACTAATATAATACCAATATTTTTAAAATTTTGCTAAAAAAGCAAACTGAAAATATATTTTTTTAGAGTAAAAATTAAAATTTATAATTAAAATAAAATTAGTATAAATCAGGTTGAAAATGGCCTAACCAACTACCTATTTGACGTGGTGTTGAATTGCGACGGTTTTTCTTTGAATTGCGATGGTTTCTTTGTTAGTTACTTGTATTTTAGTTTTTAAGATGAAATGATTATTGAAATTAATAGTTTGTATCAAAATAAAAGATAATAATAAAAAAACAGAAGCTATATATAATTCAAAATAAATATGCAAAAAAATTATTTAATTTATTTAATTAATCATTATTATTATTATTATTATTATTATTATTATTATTATTATTATTATTATTATTCAGTAATTAGTCCACACATATACAGTTGCCTTCTTGGGTGCAAGCTTTCGGGGTGGATTTTGGTCCACAAATTTTGATGCAATCCTTAATAGTTTTGCACGGCTTATGCGCCTTTAAGCTCCCTTCTCCATTTTCATTATATTTATAATAATAAATATAATCCCTAGCTGCAGCTCTTTCGAATCCCAAATCTACATTAATTTATTCGTCGGTCACCGTCAATTTATTCATTTAGATTTGACATCATTGTTTTTAATATTAAAAATATTTTTATATTTGTATAATTTTTTGTATAAATATAATTACATTAGTATTATAAGACACCAATAGAAATATTTTTGTCATTTTCCATTAATTTGTACTATGTTTTGATATAATAATTAATATTTAAAAATTAATATATAAAAAAATAAATGGATAAGTTGGCTGTGGACGAATGTAGTATAATTTTTCTAAATATTTTAAACTTTTGAAACAACAATATATCGCTTTTGCATTAAAAATAAAATAAAATAAAATAAGAAAAAGATTATATATACATATATTATTAAATTTATATCTAAATTGAAAAATCGACACTAGAAAATAAATTTACTTTTTTTTAATTTTTAATTACCTGATGCCGCGATAAGCAACACGACTAAGAAAATAAATGAATATGTCATGTCCATCTTCATTACTTAGCTTGTTTTTATGGGTATGAGCAAATGATGTTCGTATTTATACTGTCTCAAAGATTAAATGGATTTGGATATATATATATATATATATTTTGTAAATTCTGTAATATGGTTGGCAGTATTATATTACAAGAAAGTTATATAGTAATTTTAAGAATAATCTATTAGATTACAGATTGTATTTTGACTTTGAGTTTTTCATTTGAAATTTGATTTAAATTGTATATTTATATAATATTTTATAGAATAGTTACTATAATTTTATTGAAGATATGCAAACTGAATAATATAATTTTGTGTTCACATTTATATTATAGTATTTATTTTAATTGAAATTTGATGTAAATAGTATTTTTATATGATATTTTTTAAAAAAGTATATAATACCTTTATTAAAAATTATATATATATTTATTTATTTCAGTCTTTTAAAATACTCCCTCCGTCTCATGTAATATGAGTGTATTATTGTAGACACGAGAATTTAGGTAAAGTATAATTAATAAGTAATTAAGAAATGTATTAGTAAAAATAATTATAGATTAAGATTAAGATAACTAAATAGTTTAATTAAGATTAAAAAAAATTAAATTTTAAATTTTAAAATATGATTAAAGCGTATAATTAATTTTTCAAAAAAAGAAATGACAAATTATGTGGGACGGACAAAAATAGAAAATAAAGACAAATTATGTGGGAAGGAGAGAGTAGTATTTATGTTGATCTAATATTATACACAAAATATGACTATGCATATATAATTGTAATATATGGAAAAGATTCGACTATCCTCAGAAAGGATTATTATAATGATAAAACAAAATACAGAATTATGTCATCTAATGTACTCCCTCCGTCTCACATACCGTGTCTGTTACACTATAGACACGGTATTTTAGGAGGAGTTTAATTAGTAGATAATTAAGAATGTATTAGTGAAAATAATTACTCGATAATATAAATAATTATAATTTAAGATTAAGATAACTAATTAGTTTAATTAAAATTTTAAAAAAATAAAATTAAAAAGTTTAAAATAAGATTAAAGTGTGTAATCATTTTCCAAAAAAAAAAAGTGACATGATATGTGAAACGGACATAAACGGCAATGTGGACATGATATGTGGGACGGAGGGGGTAATAAATTAAAGTATTATAACATCGTCAATCAATATTCTATTTAGTATGCAGTTTGTGGACTATTGTAACGTATTGTCATTATATATATATATATCGTATTTGTATTATATCAGTGGGATCACCAGTCCAACCAGCATTAGAGTAACTTCTAAGTGACAAGGAAGTACTATGGACATAGAATATGTAAGATGCATGGTAGAGTGATGCTCCTTACAGCAGCTATTAATTGACTCTACTATATTTATTGAATACTTAATATTAAAATATCAAAAATTCATATTTTTATTAATTATATTACATTTATTATATCAATATTTGATATTATTATTGTTGTTGTTTATTTATATATTAGTCTTGTAGATGAAATAGTTATTAAATTTAATAGGTTATATCAAAAACTGATGTTTGTATAAAACTAATAAGATTGTATGATAAAAAAAATTAAAAAAATAACAATGGCCAGTGACATAATTCAAAATAAATACTTGTATAACATAGAGTAAAATAATTTTATTTAATTAATCGGTATTGTTATTAGTATTAAGTTATATTAGCATGCACAGACACAGACGCCTATTGGAGAGCAATTTTTGTGGGCGCAATTTGGCGGACAGACTTTGTCGCAATCCTTATTAGTTTTGCACGGCGCATTCGCCTTGATGCTTCGTTCTCCATTGTCGTTATACTTATAATGCGACTCTTCATCTGCAGCCGCAACCCTTTCGAATCCCCAATCTGCATTCATTTCCAAACAATTAATTTTTTCATCAATAATACACCGATATAATAAAGGATAGGGTAAACTGTTTTTTTGTTCCGTAACTGAACCTTTTTATCATTTTAGTCCTGTAAGTGGAGCATGTTGCAAACTAGTCCCATAAGTGAAAAAATTTCGCAATTTTAGTCCTCCGGCGCCGGAGACGCCCGCGTAGCTCGCCGGAGGTGACGTGTCCGCCAGGTCAGCGACACCTGGCAGACACGTGGATTTTTTTTTTTTCATTTTTTTTAATTTTTTTTTTATAATTGGACCAAATAAAAAAAAATACAAATAAAATTTAAAATAAATTAAAAATAAGCTTTAAAAAATGAAAAAATAAATAAAAAAATCCACGTGTCCGCCAGGTCAGCGACACCTGGCGGACACGTCACCTCCGGCGAACCACACGGGCATCTCCGGCGCCGGAGGACTAAAACAACGAAAATTTTTCAGTTATAGGACTAGTTTGCGACAAGCTCTACTTACGGGACTAAAATAATAAGGCGGTCCAGTTACGGGACTAAAAAAACAGTTTATCCTAAAGGATATTATAAGTATGCCAACATTTTAAAGTTTTGAAGTAATAATATATCGTTTTTGCATTAAGAAAAATAGCATCAACATACTCTCGATATTTTTCTTTTAGAGCTTGGTTTATGTATTTATATTATACAATTATCGCAATTTTTTTATAAAAATAAATTTCTTACCTGATGCGATGAGAAGCAGCACAGCTAAGAAAATAAATGAATATTTGATGCTCATCTTCATTTCCTATTTTTATCTATCCGATGAAATTAATTCAGTTTATACCATGCTTGTATTTATACTTTCTCAATTCATAAATGGATTTGCATTATCTAAATCTATTTTGTAAATTTTGTAATCTTATTATCATAATTTTATTACATTAATGTTATATAATGGATTATAGTAATTTTAAGAATAATTTATTAGATTACTAGAATTGGCTAAGGTGTTGATTATAACTAGTTATTATATAAAATATGAATTATTGGCACATGATTTCAATTACTATATTATGTATCGGGTAGATTATTATTAAAGGCGGATTAAAAATTCTTTTTTTGGTGTTACGATATAAAAATTTAACAATAAAATAAATTAGAACATTAATAATAATATTAATATTAATAAATAATAAATAATTAATAATAGTATAAAAAATAATACTAATAATACTATTTTTATATATTTAAGTTTATAAAATGTAACTGAATTATTTTAATTGTATTGGAATTTCATTAATTGGGCAATCATGGTATTTTATATTTTCAATGGGATCCTAAATTTATTTTTTTCAAATTTAAAATAAAGTACTAAAAAGTTTTAATAGTAGCATAATTAGTATTCTCTTCATCCCAGCTAATTTGCCCACTTTTATGTACTATGTAATTAGTAAGTAATTAAAAAGTGTATTAATAAATATAATTATGATATAATAAAAATAATTATAAATTAAGATTAAAAA